CCTAAAATATATTTTTATTGAATTCAGCAACAAATTTCTGAGTAAAATAGCTTGTGTCAAACCGTTGAGTTTTCACAAAATTTAAAAAATAGCGTTTACCATGTAAAACGCTTATGAAATAACTGTATTTTTGACGAAGAGAACTTTGACACTTCGTCAAAAAAATAGCGTTTACCATGTAAAACGCTTATGAAACTTTATGGTAGAAATATATTTTTGTCTGATTTACGCTCATTGACGATGAAATCATGACAAAACATATACGAAGAAGTCTATTTCCTGTGTTGTTGTCAAAATGTCATGTTGTCACTATTTTCAAAAAGATGTTAGTTGACCTGGTGACCTGGTGACCTGGTGACACCTAAAATATATTTTTGCTGAAAAAATGACCAAAAATCATGAATTTCCTCATATGTTTGCGACCCGAGGAAAACCGAGGAACGAGATTCCGTATGAAAATCGTCAAAAAAATGACCAAATTTCATTATATAACTGTTATATTTTGACGAAGAGAACTTTGACACTTCGTCAAAAAAATAGCGTTTACCATGTAAAACGCTTATGAAAATCGTGAAATTTTGACGAAGAGAACTTTGACACTTCGTCAAAAAAATAACGTTTACCATGTAAAACGCATGAAATAAAACGAAGAGAACTTACACTTCGTCAAAAAAATAGCGTGTAAATTATGAAAATCGTGAAATTTTGACGAAGAGAACTTTGACACTTCGTCAAAAAAATCCCTGAAATCATATCTTTTATACAAGATAGAAAAAATAAAGTTAGTTTTTTTAAAAAAATATTTTTTATTTTGTATGTAAGAACAGAAAATGACAAACACTGAGTTTGAAACAGTTAAAAAGATAGACAATAACACCAAAGTGGTTAGAATAGGTGATTTAAACGTAAGATACTCAAAGAAATACAAGAAATATTCTTTGTCAGACATTATATCTCCATCTGGAAAGAAAGCATACGACTGGGTTAGAAATGCTTCAACTCAGAAAATTTTGACAAGAAATCCTGAGCTTATGATATCGGTAAGATTCTATGGAACTACAGCATATCTCATCGACAAAAGTCTTATACCGATAGTTTTGTTATGGTTAGACCCAGTTGTTGGATATAACTTCATAACATATGGTTCATTCGATACGGAACGTTGCAGTGAAGGCTTACTTTATATCGTTCAGAAACCGAAGGACTTCAATACAAAGAGATATAAGATAGGAAGAACATATAATATAACTCAAAGATATGACAGTACAGTCAATAGAGTTAAGGTTGTGTTTGTTAACGATATGAGAGCTGCAGAAACAGAACTACTTGAAAAGTTTGAGAAAATGTATGGTGCTCCCACGAAAAGGTAAAGAAACGTTTGAAGTAGATGAGATAGATAGTGCTATAAAATTATTTGACGAAGTTGCTGAAAAATACATGTAAAGCGTTTATTTTTGGTCTTTTGTGAAAGTCAGAAAATAACGCTAATTTTTTATAAAAATATTTTTTTTATTTTGTATGTAAAGACAGATATGACAACAACCGAGAACACAACAACTGCTATCGTTCATGAAGCCATAAGTGAAGAATACGAGTACATACAATATAACAAACAGTTACGTCTCATTCGTTCGTCAAAGATGACATGTACAAATGCAAAGTATTTTGACAGCATGTTTTGCTCCAGATACTAAGAAACCACAAGACTGGTTTGAATTAAATAGCACTCATGAACTCCTCAGTGAGTTTGAACATGTAGAACTTAAAAAGATGTACCAAGACAGACAAAACTTACCATCACATCTAAAAAGGTATATATGTTCATAAGTTCCTAGTTAGTTCAATAGCAATGTGGGCTTCACCTCGTTATGCAATCTACATACTTATGCTACTTGACGAACTTTGTACAAAGCAGAGAGAAGATATGATGAAAGAAGACAAAAAACATACAGAAAAGAATACCACGTTCGGTACCAAAAGGAAAGGAAAAGAACTATAAGTATATGATTTATACTGAAGAGATGGAAAATGAAGAAGACAGAGATATGGTTATGTTGCATTTAGTCAGAAGAAACAACAAGAGCTTTTACGACCTTGCTAAGATTTACAAATCTGACAGAAATTGGTTCTATCGCGAAAACTTACCGATTTCAATGACCCCAAATGAAGATGTGAAACAAATAGTTCAAGATACGTTACCTCAAACACACTATGATATTAAAGGTTGTACAATACTTACCTTCAAAGAAGACTTACCGCTACTGAAAGAAAAAATAACAGAGTATTTTGACAACTTCAAACAAGTAGAGTAAATGAACTCTTTATTTTTACGCTTGACTTCAAATGGCTCAGGTAGCTCTATAAGGTCAATTGTCTTGTCAAATCCTTCTGGCATTCCGAGTCCTTCCTTCCGACAGGAAAAAAATTTCCTTCCGACAGGAAAAAAATTTCCTTCCGACAGGAAGAACTCTTCCTTCCGACAGGAAAAAATTTTCCTTCCAACAGGAAAAAATTTTCCTTCCAACAGGAAAAAATTTTCCTTCCGACAGGAAAAAATTTTCCTTCCAACAGGAAAAATTTTTCCAGTTGTCCGTCCGTAAACCATTCAAATTTTCGAAAATTGAGAACTTTTTGGTCGAACTTCAGGAAAAGTTTTTCCTTCCGACAGGAAAAAATTTTCCTTCCAACAGGAAAAAATTTTCCTTCCAACAGGAAGAACTCTTCCTTCCAACAGGAAAAAATTTTCCTTCCGACAGGAAGAACTCTTCCTTCCAACAGGAAAATATTTTCCTTCCGACAGGACACAAACGAATGTCCGACGTACCACCAACCGAGTCCATTCCAAAGCCAGAAGAACCGAAAGCTGCAGAACCACAACAGACTAAGACGAAACACTTACATTTTTACGCTTGACTTTTTACAATTTGAACTTTGTTTGCGTAGATATGAATTCTGAAAGAAGTATGAGGGTCTTGTATGACTTTGTACTTCTCCCATAGTTCATGTCTGTCAAACTTACCTGCCATGGACTCTTTCATAAGTTCCATGAAATCGTCTTCGGACAATCCGGGGAAAAGTACAATGTCAGTAAGTATTCTCTTTACATCCTTACTTAAACTCTTTGCTGTCTGTACACAAATGACAACAGAGATGTTAAAGTGTCTGAGCTTCTTAAGAATTCGACACATGTCTTGTTCTCTATTCTTTAACAAAGGATGAGAGGCGAAATCATCTAAGATAAGAAGACATCTATGAGGGTAAGTCTTCCAATCGTAAGATTGCAATTTCTTCGAAATGTATTCTATCTCTTTCTGTTTGTTTCTGAAGTGTTTCTTCTCTAATATTCTCTGCATTTCCTCATTTGGGTCTTTAAACTTAGAATTTATATACTCATTTATAGCATTGTACTTCAAAACTCTTCTTTGGTACTTCTTTATCCAATCTAACAACTCAGAGTCTTTTATACATACTAACTTAGACTTCTTTATAATATCTTTGAACGAATTGACGGTTTGGTCAAATTGACCAGAAGTACTACAAATAACAACTAACTCATAGAATGGGTTCTTCTCATCTAGTTCTTGTTGTTGTGCAGCCATTTTAAGATAAGTGAAAGTCTTACCAGACCCAGGTGGTGCAATTAGACCTGTTATACCATTCTGAGCAAATAAGAACTTGTCATGTATGGGTTTTATCTGAGCATTTTCTAATTTCACCTTGTTCTTATTTAAAACATTCTCAAATTTTTTGTCAATGTCAGCAAACTTTTTTTCTAACATATTTTTAGAAAAATTAAAATTTTTATCTTTTAGAAAATGTCTAGCGATTTCGCTATCTATATTCGAGACAAGCTTTTCGACAGCAAAACATCTGTCGACCATAAAATCTTACATAGTGTAAACAAGAAAGGTGAATTTGTTCTAAAGTTCTGTTTCTGGGAATATGACAAGAACCATAAAACATTAAGCAGAGCAGTCTTAAAATTTGTCAATGACAGACTTGTTGACAGAGATGACGCCTCTTGGAGAGATGAAGTCCAACAAAACTTCTTAGAATGCAAAGAAGACACATGCGCTGTTCTTGAAGATGAAATAGAAAACAGAATAGAAGAGCTATTAAAGGACAAAGAACTTTTACAAAAATATGGTTCTGAGAAGTTTGACATAACTCCACCAGAAAAGAAGAAGAGAGAAAAGAAAGAAAAGAAAGTAGAAGAAGAGAAGAAAGAACCTGAACCAGAGCCAGTTCCAGAGAAAAAGAAATTTGACATGTAAAAATAAAATTTTATTTTTAGAACATTTCTGGGTCAATGTCAATGTTCTCTTCCTCTTTAGGAGCAAACACTGGCTTAGACTCTAAAATCTTTTTACCCAATTTACCTTGAACTTCAACTATCTTAGACTCATAATATTCATAGTCGTCTGCTTTCTTTGGTTCATAAGGTATAACAAGTTTGTATGCTTTGCCTTCTTTAAGGTTTGAGAACCTTCTGTCAAAACTTTCTTTGACTGTTAACAAACCTTCTATGTCTAAGTCTTCAAATTTCGCACCATTTTTAGTCACAATAGCAAACTTAACTGGTTCGATGTTCCAAACTTTGCTGAATGAAGACTTTTCAAAATGGTAGAAGTAAACATTCAAATATGTGAATGGGTCTAGTTCTTCTTTAAGTCCTGACATGTACTTGTTTACTGAGATGAATTTCGTCATCTTTTCTATCGGATAAAAAAATATTTTTTTTTAAAATTTACTCAGAAAAATTTTTCTTTGTATATACACCATTCTGTACGTCTAAAAGACTTTTGACATTTGCCAAGAATGTTCGTTTAGACGCTGTCATATAACCATATTCTTGACAATATTGTTTATACGAATCGTACAATGACCTTTCATCTAAACACTCAAAGTCAGTTTCATCTATGAACAGTTCATATACACTCTTGTTTGCTTCTAACAATGTTTGTCTCTCTTCTGTATGTGGAATTTGTCTTGGATTGAACTTAGAAATATCTAATGTCATGAAATATGAGAACAAGTGGTTGTAAAACTCAGGTGTCAAAGTTTCTGCTAAGTCGTCAAAATATTCTGTATCTTGCATATGAGAATCTGACGTTCTGACAACTACATATCTTCTGTCAGAACTTTCTAACTTCATCGGAACAGCATTGTTTGAAACCATAATGAAATTTGCAACATTTTCACAAACTCTTTGGTCTTTATACTTTCTTTCAACAACTCCAACTTTGTCTGTTATAAGACTCTTCAAAGCATCTGAGTTCAAAATTTTTGTTGTATCTATACTTTGAAGTTCGTTACATACTATAAGTTTCATATTCTCTATTGAAGAGTTAAATTTACCGCAGATGTTTTCTAAGTTTGTCATATTCGGGTTCGAATAACCTTCTAACAGTTTGCACAAAATATCTGTAAAGAAAGTGTTCTTACCTGTTCCTTGTTTTCCAATTATAATGAGAGCAGTTTCATTTTTAGCACTTGGATGTTGTAAGATGTTTGCAAACCAACATAAGATATACTCATAGACTCTTTCGTTTCCATTGCATATAATTTCTTTGACATGGTCTAACCAAGCTTCTATAATATTTTCTTTCCATTCTACTTGTTCGTATTTATATCCAGTGAAGATAGAATAGAAGTTTGGAGAAGGTGTATAAAACTTTATACCACGAACTGAAAAATCTTCAAGTTTTGACAATAAGATATCCCAAGCATCTAACATCTTCATGCCAACTTGTACGACTTTTATTTTCTTAAGTTTCTGTTTACATTCTTGTTCTGAAACTATTGTTGCTCTTGGTTTGTTAAAGACAACATCCCATTCTTTCATAACATAACATTCTGGGGCAGAGTCGACATAAATGACTAAACGTTTCAAATTCTCGACTGCTTTGTTATAGTCTCGAAATGGACACATATTTCTGAATGTTTGGAAGTCATAAAAATCTGAAACATCTATTCTGTACATTTTTATAAAAATAAAAAAAAATATTTTTTTTTATTCTTGAGCTATTTGTTGCATTTGTTGTTCTTGAGCTATTTGTTGCATTTGTTGTTCTTGAGCTATTTGTTGTTGAAGTTGTTCTTGTAATACAATACTTTCACCAGTTGCATCTTCCAATTCGAAACTTTCTGCCGTCATTGACAAATACATAGGACATAAAAGTTTTACAGGAACAAAGTTTGCGTCAACTAAGGTTAAGTTTATGTTTGCTAAAGTGTTTGAGTTTACTAAAGCTGAAAACTCTGCATTCGAATGAACAATAGGCAAACCAGCAGAGAATGTGTTATTTATACGCATAAGTATCTTTTGGTCATAGTAGTTTCTGTCGACATTCGAATAACACTTTGAACCTAAGTTTGAAACAATATATAAAATAGGTGTACTTAAAGTCAATGGAATAGACATTCCTTGTATGACACCTTTTCCTGTTATAGGAAACTGTTGGTAGTAAAAACCAGATATAAGTTTTGTATTATAGCTCATATTGTTTATAGTAAACTCAGTCGGACATCCAAACATAATGAAACCTGCTCTAGTTGCAGCACATGTTACACTCGTCCTTAAAGTATTAAATAAGTCAACAAAACCTGTTGGTGGTATATCTGAGTAAGTATCTTCAAAGGAGTATTTTTTACCATTCACAACAATAAAATCTTCTGGTGTCAAAAGAGCAAAACAAGCTTTAGTCGTCATTGTGTTTAAAGTTAGTTTACAATATCGTCCTTGAGGACTTTGTAAGTTTGTTGTTATAGAATTATATGACTCAGGGTTTTTAGTCGTAATAGTATAAACCACTATGTCTTCTGCCATTTACATATATTTAAAAGTTTTTCTGAAAGTGGAGAAGAACTTCATCTAAACTTTCACATGGCGTTTCTTGAAGTTCTCTGTCTAAGAAGTTCAAATATTTTGTAAAGACATAGAACTTTCCTTTGTCTACACGAACAAACAAAACAGGGTCTTTCATATCGTTCAAAAGTGTGTAAAGTCCTTTACATGAAATAAAGTCTATATTATTTTTCTTCAAACATCTTTCAAGAAGTTTTGACATTTTTACTTAGCAAATAAATTTTAATGAAATGTTGTGGTCGTCAAATATTTTTATGACGTCTGGGAAACTATACTTTAAGTTCAACGTTTCACCTCCTTTCATAACGTATATCTTTTCAATGACATTATATGAAACACCACAGCAACTAACGTCGGGTTCTATTTCTTTGATGTTTATATCGTCTGCCTCTGTCAAAAGTTTCAATAGTTCTTTCAAAACTTCATGAGGTGCAATGACATATGAGTTCACTTTTACAGGGTTGTGTTCGACCAAGTTTAACATTATACCTAAAGCTTGACAAATCTTCTCCTGAGTTTGAAGTTTGTCTTTCAGTTGTTGGTAGTCGTTTCGAATATCTGCAACAGAACTTAAGTCTCTGCTAACTTCAGGATATGTTGGTTGTTCTTTTACAGGAACTATTGTTATACCATCTTGGTCTTCGTATGGTTTCCCCACTTCAACATCTCTTTCTTTGACATTGACAATAACACTTTGACTGTTTGTTTGAGTTGGTGAATTTAACTTCACATCTGCCACTGCCATTAAACTTTTGAAACACTTACGCTTCTATTTTTCGGAAATGACATTTTACTTAGAATAAAAAGATGGACGTATTCGAGTATCTCTTCGAATTGAAGCAGAACAAAGTTTACACACACAAACAATACAAATACATTGACAGAATAGTTCTTTATACAAACAATGGTAAATGTTATAGAATAGCAGTCTTTGCTGAACCAAAATATTTTCATAAAGCAAAGAAAGTTGGTATAACTGAAATGGTGAAAGTTCTTGAAGCAGACAAAAATATAACTTCAAAACTTACAGATATTTCTAAAGGAAAGTTTATAATACAATTTTATGTCAAAACTGGCGTACTGTCAATATTTGACGGTGAGAAAAGTGTCAAAGAACAACTTACTGACCTGCTGCCAAAATCTGCTCGATGGAAGCTGTCGTTATGCCAACCTGAGGAGCCCCAGCAGGTTTCATCGAACGAATCTTCAAAAGAGCATCTTCCGTGAAAAGTGCTATTGGTTTTGTAAACTTCTTTGCTTTCAATTATCTGGACCGTCTCTGTCACCAGTATATTGTATTTGAACTGTACCAACAGTTTGAAATACCACCCATAAAGTCTTCTGAGTCAGCAAATGGAATGCCAAGCCAAAAGTTTGAACGGTCTCCATTTGTATATTGAGTTTTTTGACCTCCTGTATGAGTCCATACTTTCACATATGGCATAATAGAACTTTGCATTTCAGGGTTAATGGTTGTTGTGAAGTTGTTGTTAAAGTTCATAGCATCTAATGTCAAGTTGTATGACCTCATATCCTCAACTGTAGAATATTCTTCTCTTGGATAATATTTGCCATCTATGTTTATATGATATTTAATACCAGGGTTGTAGAAACAAGAATAGTCATTTATAGTTCGTCTGAACAGTACAAACATAGTATCTGCATGTTTCATTGCAGTTGTTAAAGCAATATCCGTTCTTGCACCTGGGTCAGCACTTTGGTTTCCAACTTCACCTGCAAAGTCTTTGACAGATATTTGGTGTATAGGGAACATAAGTGGAACTGCAATATATTTGGCAGCTAAAGCATTTGAAATATCTGGGTCCAACATATAGACTGCAAGTCTGCTTTCTATTCTCTTGCATTCAAATTTTCGCATGTGAACTTAACTGGGTCCCAAGCAGTTCCAGCAGCATTGAAATAATAGTTTACTTCAGTGTTGAAGTTTGAGAAACCAAAGTCTAAGTCAACTTTGTCTTTGCAAAATTCGGCGAATGACGTTTGATTTGCTCCCTTTACGTCTGTAAGAGTGAATGGGTCTTGCGTTGGTGCAATGACTAAGTTATTTTTTGCTTGGAGTAAGTTCGATAGAAATTTTTCCTGCCCAGTTTTGGCAAGTATCTTAAAAACCTGAAGATGAGGAAAGATGACAAAGGAACTCTAAGTTTCAGTTTTACTTTGGTTACTGCTGCTGCAGTTTGTCCAGAAAGGTTAACATAAACTCCTGAACGTTAGGGTCAAGTCTTCTTATTTTCTCAATGGTGGCATACTGGTCTGTTTGTTCTCTAGCTTGTGGTTGTACTGAGTTTCTCAAAGCGAACCATTCATAGTTTGCCCATGTTACTGTTTGAACTAAGTCGGAGTTAGAATATATCTTATATCCCATGAAAACTTCTGGAGCATATTGGTATCCGACATAGAAAATTCCATTGCAACCTTTCTTGTCAGACAACTTGGCAGAAGGTTTTATTTCAATGTCTTGTTCCACGTATAAGAATGAGTTGTCAATAGAAATTATATGAACCTGTCGCAAGCAATATCTACTGTTGTTGAAGAACCTTCTCCAAACTCACCTACGTTTCCATAAGAAACAGCAGTTGTATATTCGTAAGTTCCAGGAACTATTTCTGACCTTCTAATGGCATTGTCGCATTCGTTATACCATTCGGAAACATTTCCATTCATGCATCCAAAACTGTTGGCGTTATATTCTGAGCGGCGTACATTTTCATATGGGTAAAAATATAGAATAGTTGGATTTATATATCATAATAGAACCCACGTGGACCAAGCTTTACTTTCTTCCTGGCTGAGTTTTTAACTCTTCTTTTTCCTTCATTGCCACTACTTTCACTAGATGAAGTTACTTCTTCACTACTTTCACTTTGTTCTACTCTTCTCTTCTTCTTTGGTGTCGCTTTTGGTAACTTGCCCTCTGCTTCAAGTTGTTGCATCTTTGCCTCATGTTCACCTAGTATGTTGTAAATTTCCCATGTCCTTTTTGCCTTTGGGCTCTGGTCGCCATCTCAGGTAACCTATATCCTAGAAAGAGTTTGTCATAGTTTGTATTTGAGTCTTCGCGTATTGTTTGCATGACTCTTTCCTGAGTTTCCGGTTCAAGCTCTTCAAACAGAGCTTGTCCATATGGAATAAGCTCGTTTCCAAATATATGTTTTTGTAGCCATTCTGGTTTTCTTTCCATGTTACCAACAATATCTTTTGTGAATGGGAAGCTTTTACCAACGTTTCAGGCTTGCGTCATTTATTTCTGTAGTTGGTTTTATTTTGTCAAGGAACATGTTTTTCAATACTAAATTTCATTTGGTACTGTCCATTTGAGTTTTCTTAAATATTCATCCCTTCTCGGTTCATTGTCTGCAAAGTAAGTTTTTATGACATTTTGTAAACTTTCGTTTGCAAGGTCATGTACAATAGGTTCTCTTCCTTCTCTCTCCCTAACTCTCTTTCTAAACTCTTCACCAAATATACCATCTCTATGGTTCTGTGTAGTTCTTTGAGATAAATGTTTTAGAACGTCAGGTGTTATATTTCCTTCAGCCATGTTCATTTCATACTGGTCCAAAATATCTGCATGTTTCATATCTCTTCAATGGCATTAAAGCCGCGCTGAAAATACCAGCTATATCTGGTTCACCATTGACTTCCATTGCGTCTACAACTTCTTGGAATTGTGGTTGTAAGTTTATGAACCACTATCCGGGTTAGCTTTATGACCCCATCTCATTGTAGTTCCATAGTCTGCAGAAACAAAAGTAGGTTTGTTTCCATATTGGTTAGGTTCTGAATGAACTTTAAACAATGTTTCATTTCTATATGTTTTGTCGAAATTTAACCTTTTATTTTCACCGAGTTCAGCCAAAGATTGAACGTTATATGGTCGTAAGTAAAAAGGGTTGTTGTATTTGTGTACATTTTCTTTCAGTACTTCCATTCTATGCTGAATATTTTCATCTGGTGTTGGAGTCTTTTGTATGTCGGTGAAAATTTTTCGATATTCTTCTACTATGTCAGCCGAATTTTTTTTAGACTCTTGGAAAGATTCCATATTCACCTCATACTCTTGTTGAGGGTCAAGATTTTTCGGCTGTTCCAAATCTTCATCTAGTTCTGTGAAGTTAGTTTCCAAAGGAGGGACTTGTTCGTTTCCTTCAGGCTCTTCTAGCTGTTGTTGCTGAACTATTTCTTCCATGTCTGGTTGTATCTGAACTTCTTCCTGTGGAGTTTCTTGTACCTCATCTGCTGGCATTTCATATATTCCGAGACCGTTTTTAACAAGTTCCCTATCTAAGTCATCCGGACTCATAAACCTTTCTTCTTTCGTTCCGTCTCTATTTTTTACGCGTTTCATGAAGAGAGTTGAATTGTCATTTAGCTCTGACACCAAATATCTCGGAGTAAATTCGTTCATGTCATTTGGATGATATGCTATTAAATCATATCCCTTAGCGAGCTTGTATTTTCCAGGTTTGAAATTATATCCCATTTGGTGCTGAGCCATAAAGCTAAATAGGTTCGGGTCAGTATTTCCTTCCTTG